TTTTAAATTTAATTTTAATTTATTTTATACATTTAATCACTATATCTCACTACAGCTTATAAAGTGAATTTACCCAACATGAATATACTTCATACCAGTCCAGTTGAAGATATCATACATGTTATCAACAGATAATCATCTGTATTTGTGTCCCATAAATGTCTCCCTTCTCTATTTTCTCCTTGATTCCTTTCCTCTCATTCTCCGCCTTCTCCCACCCTCTTCCCGTACTGTCTCCAGTATCCAAAATCATTTTCCATGGTTCTGTCTCCTCTAACTGTTGCGTTTCCGCCATAGCATGTAGACAGTCAGTATGTATTAAGTGGAGACATACAGTGTCTCTCTTTCATAGTTTGGCTTGCTTGACTCATCAGTAAATCTTCCATATTCATCCACTTTCTATCAAATGCCAAGGTCTTATTGTTGTTGTTTAATGGCTGAGTAGTATTCCATAGAGTATACGTGTCACACTTTTTTAGTCCATTCATCTGCTCGTGAACATTTGGGTTGGTTCCATGTCTACCATCATCTACCACCAAACTACCATTATCTTACCAAACCAGGCTTATTTGCTCAATTGGTCACATAGTCAATTTACTGAGACTTCGAGATGTGCAGCAGAAAAAAGCTTTATTTTCAAGGCAGCCCAGTGAGGACATAAAAATCTCAATTCCTCTTCACCAAAGCAAAGGAGTCTTGAGTATTTAAGGAATTTTAAAGGAGGAAACTGGAAATGTATATGAATGTGATTGTAAGAGATAGTGAGGTGATTTGTAGTATATGCAAGTGCAGTGAGGTCTTCATGCTTCTTCACAGATTGTGTGTTCAAAGAAACAGTGATATTATCATGATCTAGAGTTGGAGTTTTTGCCTCTTCTACATCAAAAGGTCACCTATTAGTCACCTATGCAAACTCAGTGGAGAGGTCAATGGTCTCAATTGGCGGCAATGAGTTTAGGCTGTAAGAGGCTGATCTTAGTTTCCTGGAAAACAATACATCACAAACAAAACCTCTAATGATCCACTCAGATGTTTTCTACAGAAGGAGTGACAGGATCTAGTGATATATAAACCAAGCTATTTGTAGCTGTAAAACAACAATAACAACAACAATAACTGTATATCTATTGGGTCATTGGAAAAGTCATAGTGTGTTTTTATGCAAAAATATGATATGACTATTCTGATGACCCAGTATCTATCTGTTCATTGTTCTATTATTTATAGGAGTAAAACTTGGATATAAATTGGTTCAACTTTTAACCCTAATGTGAATTTTCCCAGCATCATATCTCTCTTTCTAAAGCAGTCATTTTTATGATATTTTTTAAAAAAAAGAGAGAGAGAGAAGAGAGAGAGGAAAGGAAAAAGAGGTAGGCGAGGGAGAGAGAAAGATGTGTTTGTGATGGAGTCTCATGTCAAATCCTCTTGCTCCTGTCTCCCAGTCAGCTAGGACTACAGATGTGCACCACTGAACTCAGCTTGTTTGAGTAAGGCTGTGAACCAAACCAGGGCCTGTCAGAGGGGCTCAGCAATCATGCATTGGCGCCCTCCTGCTTATGCCCCCTTAGCTGGGCCCCATTACCTTTTCCTAGATTTTTACAATAGCTTCTTCAATGGTGTCTAAGTTTTTCTTATTGCTTTAAACCATTCAGTAAGTTCCATCTCCTTTATAGTAGTCTATATGCCCTGTGTGATCTTGTTCTTGGCTC